AATAATAATAATAATAATAATAATAATAATAATAATAATAATAATAATAATAATAATAATAACAGTGATAATAACAATGGTAATGATAATAACAATGATGATAATAGTAATAATAATAATAACAAAAATAATAATAGTATTAATAAAAATAATAATGGCAAAAAATAATTATGATAATAACATAATGCTAATAACATAAAAAATAAGAAAAAATCGAGGCTACCAAACCCACCAGGATAACCAGCACGAAACTCCGTTGCTATTCAGGTAGCAAGGCTTAAATCAAGTGCAATTAACTCTTAAATTTTTTGCTTCAGCTAGCACATCCGTCCTTTGAAACACAAATACGACATTTTTTTCAGAAATCATCCAAACTGTTATATTCCTATATACAGCTACAAGATTTGGTATGTGAAATCCACAAGTCTGGACGAAGTGGAAAGCGCTTTTCTTCTATTATATATTATGATAATTCATAATCTTTTTCACCAACTATGCAACTGGCAACTTTTCCAGTTATTCTGACCAATGCTTCACCCGGTGGTTAGCCCAGTGACGATTCCAACGTTTGCTTTGTCTCCGAAGAAGAGTATCAGCCAGGTGGATCTCTCATCCGAACTAACTGCCTCGATTTTGGCCGTTTTGAGATGGTTTTGGTGCATTTGTGTGCTAATCATCATTTATCTCGGCTTAAACGATACCACACTTAGACCACGATGAGATACCTGAGAACCCTGAGCTGTATTCCATAATTTATATGATGAAAGCAACTTTGAATTTTCTATTTAATAGATGGACTTTCTAAGTGTTATAGAAATTTTAGGGACAGAAACAGTGAATATGCCAGGCTAGGAGACTGGAAGAAGGCAGGGGGCCTGAAATCGTCTATGCGTTAACATATGCAGTTGATCTGGCGTTGCTGACCCACCATGAAGAGGAACATAGTCGAATTTCGACAGTTAATGAAATTACTAAAAGTACCATTTAGATCTCTCAAATAAGCCTCTATGTGACCTGGTAGCCTGTCTGTATTTTATCCCTGAGCTGTAAACACAGACGGCAGAATCGGTGCGAAATGGGATGGGTATCATCAGTACAGTGCCCTATTTCGTCATGTTAAAAGGAACATGTTACTAATGTGCACGAGAAGAGGGAAGTAAGGAATTATAAGGTGCAACACTTCTCCAATTTATACCTCCTTTCTTTTTCCTGCCCAACCAGCCATCTTCTCAAAAAAGATATTTTCATTAACTCGAAACAATAAAAATTCTGTGGATTCCTTACCATTCTTCAATTTCTCTTAAACGTTTCATGTAATTGTCAATTTTTTTCAGTCCTTTTGCATTGCATGCTTTCAGGCTACTCTCCGATTCCCATGTGTTATGCAAATGTGACCATCCTAGCCATTTGATCAGATACTGGCGCTCCAGTTCCGCATTGCTTCCAGCTTCTAAAAAAAAAAACCAAAATACTTCTTCGAAATGGAACTCAACAACTGTCCTGATCAAACGCAAGCTCAATTTTTGGCAGTGGCATTTGGTGTTGTAGTTCAAAACAGCCAGGGTAAAAAACTTCTACATCACTGGTTCACTTTCTTGGGTAATAAAATGGTAACAGTATATGTCAGAAGCAAGGACCTCTTTCAGCTCCTAGCAAACGGTTAGAAAAGAAAATCATTGAAAGTCTTGGCCAGCGAGTGGTCGCTATTGGCAAAGTAATATCATTCACGTTATTTTCGAGTGTCCCACCTTACAAAAAAAATAAAATACTTGGTACTGTTTTTTGAATTTATTAAACGCTTTTCGAGGAAAAATTTAATCTTAAGCAAGTACTCGAGGCAGTGCCTGTAGATCTAGCATCTAAAACTAGTACTGTTCTTTTTGCTGGCCCCGTATAAAGCTGTAAACTTGCACATTTAAATTTTTTGTAATCGTAATTGTAGGGATGAAATAATGAGATGACGCTGGACTGTAATTTTCTTCACATAAAAGTTCAGAATCGTCATTTTCCTCGTCCACAGCTTCTTAAAAACGACTTAAGACCTGAGGTTTTTGAAGAAGATTGTTTGTTGCCGCTATTTCTGAATTAGTAAAAATTTCTTCACTCACCGCCCAATCTGACGTTCGGGTCGCCTCGGTCCTCGACATTATAGAGCGTTGTGGAGGCGCCAGTTGCACCCGGATATCCAGCTCGATGACGCAGCACTTTTTCAATTGTTTCGCTGCCAGAAGCATTCTGCTCCGAGGCACCTGCTGCACCACCTTCATCCCATTCCAACACATCGTCCGAATTGATCTAAACAGCCTTGACTAGCAAGGTGCGAATTACAGGGCGCACCAAGTGACTGCTGTGAGAAGTGTTTTTTGTAATGCGAGTCAGGAAAATACCAATCCCTGTCTGTCCCGTACCTGAAAAGCGGTAGGAATGGGGGTGCTGGAAGAACGGGGGAGTGGGGAAGCGGAGAGGAAGGAGGGAGGGGGGAGGAGGCCTCGACAGTTGATTTCATGCCAAAACGCATAAAGCTGAAGCGCGAAATTATGCCGAAATAGGAAGAAAAAATACAGTAGACCCATAAATGTCGAAAAACAAACTCAAAAAATTTCAGCCACCCAGCTATTTTTGTTGCGAAGATACAGAACTGCCAGCACTGATCTTCCATGCCCATATCTGCGATGTACAGGAACGTGACGAATGACTTCACGTGTACAAATCCGCATATGATAGGGGATTATGCTCAGAAAATTTCAGCACTCTAGGTGTTATGAATGCGGGGTTGTAAAAACGTCACTTTGTTCGTACTTTAAAAAAATAAGAGGACGCGAAAGTTTATTTTATATGTGAGTACTTGTTCATTACGGTGCACTTTCAGCTTCACAGTTTCTAAAAATGCGGAGAATAAAATGCTCTTTTGATTTTAGCACTCAGTAACGTTACATGACTGGCTTAGACTACTCAAAATAATTGGCCAGTGCACGGACTGCCCGTGCGAAGATGCGTTTTTTGCGTAGCTCCTCGCAGATTTTTGTCGCTAACGACATTGGTTTTTCTGGCAGTAGCTAAAAAAATTTCAGACAGGGCGCCAGGACTGTCAGGAAACATCCCTTCAAAATCCCAGTCTTCTGGCTTCTCACTTTCCCGATTCGCAACTTGCCCGGAAGAAACTTTCAAGAGCCCGTACGCAGGTACCACGCTTACTCGAAGGATGAGTTTGAGTGCATTAATACTTAGTTGGACGGGGAACATCGCCCTAAGATTTCACCGTTCTAGCTTTTCAGATCCCCGAGTTATGAACTTACCCGAAAATTTTGACGGGACCGTACGCGGGTACCACGCTTACCCGGGGGATGGGTTTGAGTGCACTAATACCTAGTTGGACGGGGAACATTACCCTAAGATTTCAGCGTTCTAGCCTCTGAGGTCCCCGAGTTACGAACTTACCCGAAAAAAATTTTAGTGGGCCCGTACGCGGCTACCACGCTTACCAACACCTACTTGGACGGGGAACACCACTTTAAGATTTCAGCGTTCTAGCTTCTCAGATCCCCGAGTTATGAACTTACCCCAAAAAAACTTTGGCGGGCTCGTACGCGGGTACCAAGCGGGTGTTGGCGCCCATTTTGGGAACTGGGGCCGGCATGTGCATGTAGATTAAGTTCCCGAAATTTCAGCCCCGCAGATTTCATAAGTCTTGAGATGAAAGTGCGTGACAGACGCATACACAGACGCACAGACACACGGATACACAGACAACCCGTCGTCAATATGCGTTTTTGCATTGCATAGCTGCAAAAAACGCATAAAAGGTGCTTTTGCGCGACTTTTGGACAAGCCAAAATCTGTTTACTATCAAAACCCAAAAATGGAAAACAACTGCTTCCTGAAAAACCTAGAACACATCCAAAAGTTTGATGGAAAGATGGAAGAAGCATTCTTCTTTGTCCTTAAGCTACATCAAGTTCCCCTTTATAAATAAAGAAAACAAGCAAACGAGTGAGCCAAAAAGCTTGAATAGTAGAAAAGAGGGATTGGACTTAAGTGTCATGTGTAAGAAGACATTTTACGATGCAATCTCTTTGTGTTTCATCCCTTAGCTGTAAACACAGACCGAACTATGCATGCCGGTAGAAGCGGGAATTATCTGAAGCGTGAAATTATGCCGAAATGAGAAAAAAAAGATGCAAACTGCTAGCTTATGGTAAGGGAAAAAGTTTAAACAAAAAAAAAAAAAGGATAGGCTGAAAAGATTCATTTTGTTGCGGGGCTAAATAGCGCTTTTTTGCAGATCCGCTTCACTTTGATCAGTAATCATCACTAATATATCCAATTTTCTAGATTATCGAAGTCTGAGGAATGGAGTACCTCTTCTCCGGAACTAATATCTCTGTAATTGATGCGATTTTTCCGCGCTTCTGGTTTATTTCTTCGAGCTGGCCGAGCTCCATCCGAGTCGCCATTTGAATTTGCACTATGTTTGCGCACTTTCTTTTTTGGCAATGCTTTCAACGATTTCTGTGTAGTTTTTGGCAACATCGGCGTAATTTCGAACTCTCCTTCCTCCTCTTCTTCATCGCTTATTTCTTCGGAATGGGATAAAGGCCTGCAAGAAAAGTATTAGTTAGTCAGCAAAATATTCCAGATTTATCAAATTCAAATTTTTAAGGAAGACATAGTTGTTACCTTTTTAGGGGTCTTTGCTCAGATGCATTCGTACCGCTGTTTTCTCTGCGTTGCCTCCCGGATCTTCGTAATATATTTTCGTTTTCCAAGAACTAAACGAACAGTAAGAATTTATAACGATAACATTTGGCGATCGAAATTTCTCCGAAAAAAAGTAACAGATTTTGATTCTACAAACTATTTTTTTTTTGAGAGAACGAAGTAACCTGTAAGCATAAGAACAGAAAGCACACTGAGGGCAGCAACGGTATACAAGCAAGACTTCGAGGACTGCTTAAGAAACAGGCTAGAAGTTATCTGACCAATTTAAGTAGACTGTAGCAACCAGGCTGACGTTGGAAGCCTAAATGGCGAAGGCGCGATAGATTACAATATGAGAGGAGATAAGAGTGAGACAGGTCGTGCCGGTCCATTAAGTCATATACGT